AAATCACACATTTCACAGTCAGTTGTATTAATTTAAATTACACAGTGCTCAAGCTAAATGCAAAAGGCCTTCAGATACTTGCCATCATCTGTAGAAAAACTCACTATATGTTATTCCTTTGCTCTGTTTTTCTTATTGCTGGGTCAAAGTAGATTGAGAGGCCCACATTCAACCACAATACAGCTAAAATCCCACAGGCAGGCACCTACATATACAAACTATCCCTATGCTAAAGACATAGCTGGCTACACATATGGAGGTGATTTCATAGATCAAAGTGTTGCTACAGCCAATTAATCTATATCAATGTTAATTAATCAACTTAACCTCAGGCTTTACAGACCACCCTCTAATCACTGTGTGTGTGTGTGTGTTGTGTGTGTGGGTGTGTTTGTGTGAGGGAAGATTAGACGACGAGAGAGAAAGGGTGTTTTATGGAATACTGTAACAACAAAAAAATCAAACAAATAACCTGGTTTGACTTTTAAATATATAGTTGTAATTTAAGAGAAAGAGCAAGCAAGAAATGATTAAATACAGGACCAAGAAAAATAAGGAGAGCAAAAGAATTGGAACAAATACAAGTGTGTTAAGACAAAGCCTGTGAGCACAGTATGGAGAAAAAAATCTGTGGAGGGGGAAAATGATTAACCTCTGAGACATTTACCTAATTAATTCTGTCCGTGCTTTAAATGAAGTGAGCAACCTTGGAGCAGTAGCCGGTCAGTGGAACTCATGTAAAATGTATGTCACCCTATATTACCATGTGCAGAACAAGAGCTGCTGCTACTTAATATAATGACACATGTAATCTTTATTCAACTTGCACCCTCCAGGCCTACAGCTTTGTTGCAGACATGGAAACAGCTAAACCTTTAGCCCAAAGCTAAAGCTAAATAAACTGACAGTCTGTTGACACAGGTGTGAGCCTATAGAACCACGTTTGCATGTAATTATGAGCGTGTATGTTGGTATGAATGATGTACTAACAGGGAATTCGCGGGTTAGAGGGAATGAATCGGATTTCCTATGTTGCATGTGTGTGCACAATTATGGGAAATTGTTTTAACCTGTGGAGCTGCTTGTATGCAATAGATTTTTTACAATTTATATACAGTATATAATTTAATGTAAATTTGATTTAATGTTAAATGGCTACATTTCAGCAGAAAAAGGACTTAATGTAGTAACAAAATGTGTTTGTTTTGAATTCTACTTTTGCTTTTGTAGGATTTTTTGACTTCTCAGTGAGGTTTCTAAGCTTGAAGAATTTGATAAAACTACAGCACATTTTATGCCATACTGTGGTTACGGCTTCAGTCCACCCATTGAAATAAATAGATAAAATTAGATAAAATAATAATTCTTCACAATTCAAAAACATAAAATTAGAGGTTAAACAACAACATCAAAGGAATTGGTAACAATTTAATCATTGTAAAAGTTTTTTATTGAGCAATTAAATGTGAGGATTTGCTGCTTTTCTTTATATAATAAAAAGTGAAATAGCTTTGGGTCTCCTTGTACTTGGAAAGCATTTTTTATCTGACATTTAAATGATTAATTGATCTATTAAAAAGAATCAAGTGACTGAATGATAATAAAAATAATTGTTAGTTGCAGCCCAGGATTAAATAAAGAGTAATATGCAATCAGTATTGTTATATAGGCAGGTCAGTCTTGAAAACGTGTACACACACACACACACACACACAAACACAGTAGGTCTGCGATTGTGGAATTCAGATGAGAACTTCCATCAAAGGGCTGAGCGGCTGATGGCAGCTGTCAAGTGCTGCAAAGAATCTGCCCGAGCATTCCTGCGGTTTAACACCCCCCCCCAACCTGCTCCCTTCCACACTCCAACCCTGGATGTCATAAAAATATCCTGCCCACAAGGGAGAAAGTGAGGCAAAAGAGTTTTGATGGCATGCCCCCCTTATAGACCTTCACATGTATGCAGCAACACATGTATGACACCAAATGTAATTGTTGTATTTCCTGAGTAAACCTTTAGTGAATCTGATCCCGACTATTTGGTGGCCTACAAGCATAGACAGACTATAGTATAAATGCATTTCGGAACAGCTTCTAATTATTGGAACAAAATGATATATATAAAAGTATTGAAAGAATTTACTACATTGGAAAAGATGATAGATTTCTCATAGTGTATCTTTAGCTTTGAGTGCACATGAGGACACTGTGGTGACACCTCAGCTGACTGCCAGCTGTGTGTGACCACCCAGCACAGATAAAAGAGCCAGCAGCTGTAGAGCAAAGGATTTGGAACAGTAGTGAATACACAGTAAGCATCTTAAAAATCCATGCAGTACATTTTAGATTGATTGGAATTATTTGATACCGAACTGAAATTACTGATTAGGTTGAGTGTGAAAGATCATTAAAAGCAAATTGTCAAAAATAATCTTAAATTCAAGACCCTATCCACTTCTTGTTGGAGTTTTTAACAACATCTCACAGTCTTCATCAGTGTTTGTTTGTTCAAGAATGTTGTTGTCGTGGAGATTGTCCAGATGTCATCATGTGACCCTAGTATTGAATTTTGGTCATGTTATAATAGGAGGTCATTTATAGTATACCTAGGTCTTGTGATGACAACGGAGCAAACTACACCAGCTAACGAGATATAGATGAGAGCTCCAGAAAAAGCCAAGAGGAAGACCTTGTGTTAAAGGAAGTGCTAGCTGTGTGCTAAATATAAGGGTACAGTCAGCAGCCAGTTAGCCTATCTTAGCATAAAGACTGATAATAATGGCAAACAGCTAGCGTGGCTCTGTCTGAAGCACTTCTAAAACTAACTAACATTGTACAGAAAAAGACCAACAAGTAAAATGTAGAGTCTGCTGGGCAGATAATGGTTTACAGGTGTCGGTTGTAGTTATTCAACTTAAAGTCCTTGCAGAAAATGGTTTCAAGTTTCTATTAGCCGAAGCAAAACAAAGCTATATATTTTTGTAACTCAGAGACTCTATTATCATTCAATTCTGTCAGTAATTGTCCACCGTGTTAGGTCAGCACTTCAGACCCATATTTATGTTTCTTATGACACATCTAACAGCCCTTGTCACAGCTGCACGTTGGTGGTTTCTAGAAGCAGCTCTGAAGTGACATTTTCATCTGACAGATTTCTCTGGATGATATTCAACTTGGTAGCACCATTAACTCCCATCTGTTCCAAACAAACCCTCACAAAAAGGATGCATCAGATATGTGGTCATGACAGACTATTTGTCAGT